GTGATAATTATCTAAACAACGGTGTGAAAATTTCGATGTCTTACATAACAATTTTTTTTAGAAAAATGCACCTTAAGTTCTTGAATGCAATAATTTGCTGTTTACGGATCAAATGCCTTAGAAAAAAATTTATTCGGCAGAAAGCATTTCAGATAACTTAAGTTGCAACTGGTGTTATGTAATATTTGCGGAATTATTCATCAGATATTGTCAGGATCCTGATTAAACTGCAAAATTTAGAACCAAGTTCAACCGCACAAAATCCAAATAGTATGTAGCAAATTAAGGTCGACTTTTTGTCTTCGAGTTTGCCGATAAATTCCTAAAAAAAAAAGATCCAAAGAAATGTTTACTTGAAAGGAGTAGATTACCTGAAATATTGAAGACTAAAAATCAGTACCGATTTAACATTCTTTGGTGAAATCGTTTAATTCGAAATGGCAAAACTTAGTGAACGCGAAAGAATTGATATTTTGAGGATGATTGGTTTCGGCGATAAGTTACGAACCCATCAAGAAGCTTGCCAATTATTTAATGCAACGTACCCTGACAGACCACCAATTACGCAATCTACGGTTAGTAGGGTACTGGCAAGGTTTGAGGAAACTGGTAGTGTGAAAGATGCTCCTCGTGCGGGTCGTCCTAGAGTAGATGATGAAACTAGATTGAATATCCTGGTGGAGCTCCAGGACAACCCTCATTCTAGTACAAGGTCGATTGCATTGAACAATGATATTTCACATGTAACTGTGGTGAACTTTCTCAAAAAAGAGAAATTTCACCCCTATAAGGGTCACTTGATACATGCATTGACTGAGGACGACCCAGACCGCCGTCTCCACTTTTGTGAAGATTTAATGCATCGATGTAACGGAGACCCCGACTTCCTCAAGAACATAATTTTTTCTGACGAGGCTACTTTTTATCTTAATGGATCGGTGCATCGACATAACTGCCGGTATTGGTCTCAGGAAAACCCGCACTGGGTGCAAGAAGTAGATCATCAGCACCCCCGAAAGGTGAACGTTTGGGCGGGAATAATAGGGCGTCGTATTTTAGGCCCGTATTTTTTCGAGGAAAATTTAACTGCTGCTCGCTATTTGGATTTCCTGCGGTTCGATTTGGTCCCAAGCTTAGCAGAGTTATTCCCGAACAACGAGGATCCTGATATTCCTGAGGAAAGAATTTGGTTTCAGCAGGATGGTGCACCGCCCCATTATGGAGTGCAAGTACGGGAGTACTTGAATAACACGTTTACTGGCCGGTGGATCGGGCGACGCGGAACAATCGAGTGGCCTCCGCGTTCGCCTGATTTAACACCTCTAGACTTTTTTTTGTGGGGCTATTTGAAATCGCGTGTGTACACAAACAGACCAGGTGATTTGGAAGAACTTAAAAACCGTATTCGTTTTGAAATAAATCAAATCGACCCGGGAATGCTTGAACGAAGTGTAGACGGCGTTTACACACGCTTAGGACAATGCCAAATGGTACAGGGTGGGCAATTCGAACAATTTCGCTAGACTTACACAAACATTAGTGTAATTTTACTCGTTTGAAATGTAATTTTGTCAACTTTGTCCTTTTCGGAGCCATTAATAGTGTAAGTAGACAATTATCACTTATAAGAACTTAAGGTGCATTTTTCTAAAAAAAATTGTTATGTAAGACATCGAAATTTTCACACCGTTGTTTAGATAATTATCACTGTCATCAATTTCGAACGAAAAAAATATGCGTTGTCATTTAAAAAAAAATTATGTCATCGCTGCCGTAAGTGGATTATCGAAAAAAAAATTTTTTCCACATAACAAGGTGCCCTGGATCAAATAAAAATCGACGGGCCTCACCGTTTTTCGAAAAAAAAAAATTTAACGAAAATATAAATTTTATGCAGAACTTTTTTACCACGCTGTATATTAAATAACATCTACCCTTTAATGGACACGGTTTAAATAGTAAAAAAGTATTTAATTTTCTTACAAATTTAGCAAAAAAGTGAAGTTCAATTAGAACAAAGCCGAAGTCCATAAAAATTACGAACTTCAAAAATCCCGTAAAACTTCCCACTTAAAACTACCTAACTCCTGGACTAAGAAGAAAAATAACTTAATATCCTCTGAATATTTAACAGAAATCTGTGTTTAATGTAGTCTAGTTTGACATTACTTTGGCATTCCACCCACTTATAACCATGTATACAATTTGCATTAATGTATATTACACTGGTTCAAGAGCTCCATTAAGATACGCTGCATCAAGATGAATATACAAACATAAACCGGCTTACATAGTCAGACATGCATAATGTATACATTCGTTCTGGCGATTAAACCGTTGACCTTAAAATACAGGGTCCCACAAAGTCGTGGGACAAAAATATATAAAAAAAAAATATAGAAATTAGAACGCTCTTAGTTCGACACTTCAGTGCGTTAACAAGGCGGAGAGGTATGAAATTAGTAACTTTATTAAATGTTTAGCAAAACCTTTAATAAATTTATTGTTTGTCGACTTGGATTCCTAGCATTGTAAAATACGTATTCAAAGCCAAATGTATACAAGTAACTGACTAATATTCAGATGTATGTGGTCGGTAATGAACAACTTGTTTACTGATTAGTTGCGCAAAACGTCAGTACCAAAAAAAAACATGGATGCTTTTCTCGTGTTCGAAAAAGTGGTGTGTATCTGTCTATCAGCATTGAGTATCCACATATACAGGGTCGGAAAGTCCCCATGGTTCATCGGCCATTACGTGAGAGCGGTAAAGTAAGTCATAGAAATCCATGCGATAGAGAAGGATGGCTAATGGATAATGAAGGCGTCTCATAGTCACCGCCCGTTTCGCCCCTCCACAAATAAGATCCACTTCCACTTGTAATTCAGCGATCTTTGTTTTCGTCGTTTGCCTTTTCTGTAATAGATGTCACTGCTTATACAATTCCGACTTCGTATTTCGATATATTAAATACAATCCGTTAACAGAGGGCAGCACAATTTGTCTAAGGTGAAGCGCAGCCCTAGAAAGAGTGATGCCATCTACAGATTTTTTTGGAATTGGGGAAATAGGGAATTTTGCTTTATTCCTTGGGATCATTTTAAAAAGTATACTTAAATAATAACTCAATGAACTGAGCACTATACTCCATTTGAATAACTTCTCAGTAGGGGAAACAAGGTCACTAGATTTATAAACAGAGGTATCTACTAGCTACTGTAAAAAGTTTTCTTTGTTATGCGTTGTGCTGCCCTCTGTTAACGGATGGTATTAACATGTCGGAATACCGAAGTCGAATTTGTATAAGTAGTGACATCTATTAAAGAAAAGCCAAACGACGAAAACAAAGATGACCACCGGTCGCTGAATTACAAGTGGAAGTGGATCTTATTTGCGGAAGGGCGAAACGGGCGGTAACTATGAGACGCCTTCATTATAGCCATCCTTCCCCATCGCACGGATTTCTATGACTTACTTTATCGCTCTCACGTAACGGCCGATAAACCATGGGGACTTTCCGACCCTGTATATCCCATTTCGACTAAATATGATGAATAACCAATTCCAAATTAAATGACTCGCAATCGCGTAATCAAAGCAAATCCCAGAAGTCAGTAAATCTGCGCGCTGCGCTCTGCAGCGGCATAATTATATTAAATCTGGGGAGGGAAGCACGCAGGTGTTCGCGCCCATAGCACAAATTAATTACATTAATTGTATTGGCAGTATCAACTGGAACGTGGGCTGTATTTATTCGGTTGGTGTGATGTATGCGCGGCATAATCGAGGCAAATTAATTAAATGAACGTTCGAGTTGTCCCTTCGTAATACGGATCGGAAAATAAACAGAGACGGTACGAATCCTGCTAATGTGACTAATGAAAAAATATATAAATCTTGCTGATAAAAATATATTATGTATTCATTTTCTTGTTATTTCTCGTACATGCTAACAATAAAACCACATTCACAATTTTAGTCTAATGTGGCGGTTACACTAAATACATAAATTTGTTCGTATAGCTCTACAAAGTAATTGCCTGAGATACGAATTTGTTAAACGACAGTATTTGTGTTAAAGTTTAAGCACAGTAAAATCGATCCAGTTTGTTCCCTAGAGTGATATTGCTACTACTACACACAGTAAATGATGTTTATTTTCTGTTGTCATATAATATACATAATGCATGTATTCGTACGAACTGATTTTATAAATCAAAATTACTTTAGTAGTGTCGTACAAATTCCTAAAAAATAGAGTATAACCACACGTATGTTTGTAAATATACGTATTTGTTTTTATCTGACATTTGTACGAACAGATTTTCGTACGAATTCGCATCTTTGTCGCCTAAGGCGGCGATTACATTAGATACGAATTCGTACGAAAACCTGTTCATACAATTTGACCTGAAACTCGCCAGCAAGATGACGAATTTGGTCAAGTTTGTATGAAGTCAGGTGAAAACAAATACATATATTTACATGTGAACGATCACACTGTAACATTAAAGGGTTTTAAACAATTTTACTTCATTTAAACTTTAATATGAAGCTACTAACCGCTATTCGTGCCATAATTTTTCATACGATTTCGTACAAACAGATTTTCGGACAAATTCGCATCCAATATAACCGCCCCCTAAGCGTTTCTAGATTTTCTGCGTTCTGTTCATAAGAATTCGTACGAATTTCTGATACGACCAAAATCATTTGTTTTCGTCAGTTCAGTTCATATAAAAGGTATGACATTTGTGACGATCAACAACAATTAACAATAAAGTAAATAATTAATGTTGTTGTGGAACGAATTCTTAACCGATGTAATCGCTCCATTCATTGAATAGTTTCTAAGATTTCGTAATTTGTATCAGTGTAATCACCGCTTAATACCTGCAGCTGATCTATTGTCCTAAAACTTAGTCATTATTTCCGTTCATCTTTATTTATTTTGTTATTGAAATTGTAATAATTTTTTAGCAATATTTATTTGTTGCAGATAAGTAATAATTGGATTATGGGTCCAGAGTTATGCGACATGTGGACGTCCATAGATGTTCTATGTTGTACAGCATCAATTTTACATTTAGTAGCGATAGCAGTCGACAGGTAACTTTATCATGATTTTGTGTCTTCAATCAGTCACAGTCACCAATCATTTTGTTGTATCGATACGTAATTTACTTTTCCTGTAGTCTCTGTATAGTCGTCATATCTTTCTCATTAATTCATTAGTAAAATGATCTGAGAGATTTTTACAAATAATATTGTGGTAAACTACTGCTCTGCGAACTAATACTCCGACAATACCGAATTACACCAGTAATATCTAGTAAACAGCTAAGATCATTTGTCAGTAGAACCACCACACATATACTAGTTACGAATATATTAGTTAACGTTACTATGCTATAGGTGAGAGGAAACGAGTGACGAGTGACGAGTGACGAGTGAATAATCTAGCTATGTTGATGTTTGGCTTCACGAGCAGTATCTAATAAACAGCTAAAATACTATATATATACCCGTTTCAAACTTTCTAGTTCTTATCAGTATGGCATACGTGACGAGTGACAAAACGTATTACGTGTTAAATTGTCACTTCTGCTCAATATCTAGGCCTTCAATACAACCAAACCGGTACAAAGCAACCTGCTTACTACATGTTTGCTAAATAATATTGAGAATGATTGTCCTTGGAGTGGTCTCTCAACTCTACCTAAATAATTTGAAAAAAATATATATAAATTATTGCTTTGATAAAACAAATTGTAATACCTGAAGTTTATTAGGGAATAGCATTCAAATTGATTCTATCTATTCCAAACAGCTTTCGATCGAGTGAATTGGAGGTGCCTCAATGTTCCCATTTGGGGCCTATTTTATTCTTATTGTTTATCAACGACTTAAACACGATAAATTGCAGTAGAATATTAATTTTCGCTCATGATATATGTCACACTGTTCACACAACCTTTATTCTTAGTATTACCAAAAGTGACTATTTAAATATTAAAAAAATATAAATCGATGAAAAAATTTTAAAGATTGATTTTAAAATTAACATTTTATTGGCAAATATCTACCATTTCAGACTTGGAAACTGTATGAACGCCATAAGTGCCACATTAATCTCATTGAGAGAGTACAGAGAAGATTGTTAATATATACTTAATATAAATTCTCGAAATATTTCGGATATTACAAGCTTATTAAGCTTAGAATCTCTAGAACATCACGAAATTAATGTAGATAAAATATTCAGGTTCAAATTATTAAATGGTATGATAAATTGTCCATGTTTGTAGAATTAATTTAAATTAATTATAGCTACTTACAACACTAGATCGAAAGAACTTATTTATATTTCTCTAAATAAAAAAATTGATGATGTGATGATATTTCCTGGATCATCTTTCAAAGCGAAATTGAAGCATAGCTAGTATATTTGATTACCACAGCAAATGTATCTGTCTATGAATGTGTACATATTCTTTTGCTTACTTATTTGTACACGTTTTGTATTTTCGTAATTTGGTGTACGATAGGTATACATATTCGTTTTCATGAACTTTGAACATGAACAAATAAGTAAATATTATAGATGTAATTCCATGTTGATCGGGATATTAGCCCGCAGAGTAGTTGTTTCCCATACTAGCATTTGTTAAACTTTCTTTGGTAGCATTGAAGGTGTTTAAGTAACAGTGACTATTTAAGATGTGATGCATTTTATTATATCTCACCTCTGAGAAATTTTTTCTGGTATTTCAGGTACTGGGCTGTCACGAACGTGGACTACATTCACACCAGGAACAGCAGCCGGATAGGAGTCATGATAGTTGTCGTCTGGAGCATAGCTCTGGTTGTGTCACTAGCTCCTCAAATACCCCAATTCAAAGACCCCGATTACTTGTACAGGATACAAGTGAAAAAACAATGCCTGGTCAGCCAGGATGTCAAATATCAAATCTTTGCAACGAGCTCAACCTTCTACGTGCCCCTCCTAGTAATCTTCGTACTCTACTGGAAGATATTCCAAACGGCCAGGAAACGGATCCGAAGACGAAGGGAGCTCAAGTCTCAAATAATAGAGAAAGTAGAGAGAACCAACAATAACAGTAGGGTACCTAAAAACTTCCTAGCGAGGCGAAAATTCTTGCGAATGAAGAAGTACAGCAGTAAGCAATCCTCGGCGGCGGAAGCCCTTGTGAATTCCTTAGTCATGATGGAGGGCCAGTCCACCACAACCATGGAAATCGTCGAGGAGCAAGACGAACAAACGAACGACCAGGAGACGACCGCTTTCACCATAACCAAACCAACGGCGCAGAACGTGCAGAACGACGTCCCCGTGATATCGAACAACGTCTCCCCTGAGAAATCCTCGGCCACGACGAACAACGGTTCCGCCAGCCACCAGAGCCACATAAGCGACATCAGCAGGGCGGAGATCCTACACAAGGAGATACCCCCCTGTCCGGCCTCAGTGGACAAGCTCATACCGTCCAGGAAGGAGAAGAAGGAGAGTCTGGAGGCGAAGAGGGAACGGAAGGCTGCCAAGACCTTGGCGATCATCACGGGGGCCTTCGTGATGTGCTGGCTGCCGTTCTTCATCCTGGCCCTTCTGATGCCGCTGTGCGGAGACGCATGCATCATCAGCGACTACATCATGAGCTTCGCGCTGTGGTTGGGTTACTTCAATTCGACCCTGAATCCTGTGATCTATACGATTTTCAGCCCGGAGTTCAGGCAGGCCTTCAAGAGGATCTTGTGCGGCGGCCACAGGGCCGGCAGGAACTTTAGATCGGGCAAGATTAGATAAAATAAATATCCTTTCAGTTTGTTGACTTGGCTTCTTGGGCTTTTCGTCGAAAGAACGTAAGGCGAGATTGCGACAAGGTTTGTTTAGTAACAAGGGTTTTAAAATATGAAACACATATTTTTTTATATAACTGGGTGCTTTAAAAAAAAACGACGTAGTAGTATCTATGCAAGATAATCCCATCCCCTAAAATATGGAAAGGTGCTACTTGATTAAAAATAGGCCAAAGAAGACAGTACATACCAAAATTAAAATCTGGAGTCACTATATAAGTTCCATCACCTTTATAAATGTTTAAAAAAAAAAGATAATCAGCGTTTTTTGACTTAATAACGTCATCCATCGTCGACTTTATCCATGGTTTCAATCACTTCCTTTGTTTGGCCAATTAATTTCTTCTACTCCACTTTACACATAAACTCTATGATAAAGATGTCTCCTCACTAATACACTGTTTGCAGCTTGACAATTTGTATAGAGCTAATGGTATACAGGGTGTCCATTAACAAAGGGCCAAACTTTACCACTAGATTCTACGATGAAAATTAATTTGGAAAATTCATATACAATGTTGCTCATGCACGCTCGAGATACAGGGTGTTGAAGTTGAAAAATTAAATAGCATTTTCTTTAATATCTTTCGACTACTTCGAGCTAATTTCGTATCCGGGGGTTTTTTAACATGACCTTATAATGACCTTGAACATGACCTAACATATAATAACCATGGTTGCCCCCACCATAGGGGATTTTTCTCGGTTTGACCTTAAAATAACCTGACCTGACAAGGTCAAACAGACCTCAAATTAGGACTCAGCGACATCGAAAACATAAGTATATAGTGGTCTAGTCCGACGCACAGATTTTTTTTGTGGAGCTGTGTAATTAGTTATTTTTTAGATTTTTAGGTCGTTTAGTTTGGTTACATTTTATAGATTGTGTTAGATTGATTAGATTGTTTTTGGAAAGTATATTTTTTTACTCCGTCAATTCCGTTTGCAGTAAAATTGTTAAATAAACGAAATTTTAAGAGCACTGTTTCCTTTAAAGGCATATTTCTTGCTAATAAACGATTACTCCTAATTTCGTTTATCAGTGTTGAAAATAACTTTTAAACAAATATTTTTATTCATTTACTTTAAACACCTTTTTTTGAAAACGATTGGCTTTAGAGATATTAGCAAGATAAGCAGAAAAGTTAGAGGGAAAAATTTTTCCACACCAAAGTGAAATATATGGTGGCACAAAAAAGGTTTGATAGTTTAAATGCGTCCTAATAGTCGCTTGTGGCGCCCTCTAGAAGATACAACGAAATCGTCAATAAATACAAATTTCTCATCCCAGAAAACCACCGGATACAAAATTTCACGAAATTAGTAATTTTCAAATGTTTAAATTGAATATATTTATATCGCAATGGTTTAATTTTGTTATTGTTATTCATTCTTATGCAACTTATTTTTAATTTGCATTTTTGTTTGAATTTATATGAACTTAACTTACAATTATCATTTCCAGAAATATTTATTCATTGAACAAGAACCTTTCTTACTACTGAATCTTCTATATAAGCGGCAGAATCAATGGTCGGCATACATTTCTGAATTCTGCAATTTTTTTAACAATACTATACAAGCTATGCTATTTACTTCTACAGATTGGATGATACACTTTTTCTATCAATAATTGGCACATCATCTGTTTCCAAGACTAGCGATTTTACAATCTATAACCATCAATTATAGCAATGTAATCAATTATATGTAAAAACATTACAAAACGTTTTTTGATGAGCGTATTCATCAGGCGTATTACTTACTTTGAAATGTTGACGGCTTTACTTTCTCTGAAGTCTCCAAAAAGTATGCTAGGAGTACCTTTTCACTCACACTATTGATATTCTATGCGATTTTCCACTTTTGACAGCACGTATATTCTTTTTCGTACATCAACCGCGATTTTTAGGGGAATAGTTTCCTCACGGCTTCTATTACATCTATTCCATATCTGAGGGAAGTTTTTCTTCTTTATATTCATTTTCGCACGTTTCTACTGTTACTTTGTGAAGAACAAACAAGGCAAGACAAAAGTGAATGAACACACAACACACAACAATAAAACAATGATTATTTATTTTCTCGTAACCTCAACTACAGTGATTTTAAAACCTGGTTCAATTATTAATTGATTTTTCTAATCCTTTTCTTTTAAAATTACCTGTGGGAAAAAATCAGAATATTGTGCATGACGATAAAAAACATTAACGACTCGTGGAATTGAACTCGATCCTTCGTTGTTGGTGAATTAAAACTTTTCAATAAAATATTTTATCGTTTGAAACTAATAAATCACTAATTTTAAATGCAGTGAAGATATTGCCACTTTAGTGTGTTTTAAACTGTATATATAACATTCTTTTTTAAATGATATGGCAGTATTAATTTACCTCTTGATAAACTTCTAATAATGTAAGGACGTAATTTAAATTTATTTAATAATATTACGCAAATAATTAATGACAAATCAAAAATTTGGAGGAATGAACAGCCACACAAATTTAATGATAATATTAAATAATTAAATTATTGTACAGTTTGTCCCACTAAGGACGACGAGGTATGATATTAGGCAAAGTATAGGCCCTAGAACTTCCGGTTATCCCTATTTGTTCTGTGGGTACACATGTTGCAAGTGACCCATTTTTAAGCATTACGTCAAGAGCGCCAGCAGGACGCCGCCAAACGTACCAGCGTTCCAGGAAGGGTCTACGGCGGACTACTGGCGCCGGCGACCAGATGCGTACTCATATTAGGTATATGACTCCACACCAGGGGACACTCCACCAAACATTCGAACCGACAACACGTCTTCTTCTACAAGCTTAGTTTTCAATAAAAATAGTTTATTTGTACCGTTGAGAGAGCGTTTTATTTTTGTTGTACAGCGAAAGCAACCCTCAGTACTATTTAATACTGAAATTTCTAAGAAAAATTCAACTCTATGTTTTGGTATGTAGATTGCGCCCCTTAGCGGCCGAGCTACGAACTTGAAAACTATTCCAGCGATTTCTCTTGGTATTATTAATCAAAAGATTATCCGCGAAGCTCTTTCTAGGTCTATACTTTTTCTAATATCGTACCTCGCCGACCTTAGTAGGACACCCTATATAATATTCTAGTGGCATAAAATTTAATTTACTTCAAACGAATCGCTTTCTTTGCTGTTAGTTAAGTTTAAATTCCCATGCAGAAGTAGACGCGATTAATATTTCCGAAATTGACAAAACATTCCTCCGAAATAGCAAACATTTCTTTCCTCAAACGAGACACGCGAAATACTTCCAAGTTTGCCTTTCCGCCCATTAACCTTTAAAAATTAATTAAAAATACATCCCTCCGCCTACACATTTCTTCGAAGCGTATTTTTTTACCCCGATACAAAGACGCGATTCTATAGGCGTAATCCAGAAAGGAAGAGAAATATAATCTGCGTCTCTCAGACTTACCGAATTAAGAATGGATGAAATTAATAATGAATTTAAACTGGAATCGCCCTGAACGCAAAGAAACAACTTAAATATTCAAACTGCACTTCTCGAGAGCAATTAAAACTTCCGTGACCTTCGCCAAAACTAACGAAGTTTCCTTTTTTAAGTCCTACAGGAATTTTTAATTAAAATGTGTTGCCAACTGTGCCATAGTTTTAGCGCTAGTTGAGCAAGTAAATGAATCTGTCTTCTACTAAAGTGAATTTTTTTCACATACCCATAAAAATTAGTTTTTCGAAAACTGTTATCAAAAGTCGACATTTTCGTTAAATCTTCGGTTGACACAGTGAGTCTTTTTTGTTACCTAGCTGCAAAACTCTTTTATATTCTAGAACGCCAAGTCTTTTTCGTTCTAAACCATAAAACAAATGTCAAAAGAATTTGTCATTTTTTCGAAACTTATGATTTTATTAATTAAACAATATACATTTTAAGTAATATAACATTTCAATAGAAAACAGTAACTATTATAAACAGGACGAATACAGGTTATTTTGCACTACATACTTGTAAATTGAACGTGCCGATATTGCAGTAAGTTAAATTTAAGACGGATTCAGTGCTGCCAGTTATCGTAGCTTTTAGTTATTGGCGTTCAGTGAGGCTGCTGCTGTAATTGTTTAAGTTTATTGCACACGTTCTACTAATGGCAAATTCCGTAAGCTCTGCTGAAGATGGTAGTAAGTTATTTGCGATTGATATTTTGTTTTATACAGAATCTTCTATATATGTCTCCGCTACCGTACGCCACCCTCTATGTCCTTGAATTGTGGTAATATCGGCCCCTGCGTCGGCTAACAGAGTGGCGGAAGAACGTCTAAAGTAGTGCCCTGTATAAGTTTCAAATTGAGATAAGTTGCTATTTCTTTTGGCACATTCCTTATTTTGTTGACGCCAACCACTTGGTTAACACATTTTTCCCTGATATACTTCACAAAAAATCTTCGACTTGTAGTAACTGTCGGACATAAGACACAGTATTTGTGATATATCTTCATTTGGTCTGGACTTGAAATCACAAAACATCTCGGAGTAAGAGTTTTGAAATTGGGAATTCTTATAATAAATAACTGAATATTTGTCTTATAAATCATCGATCGTTATCTTTAGTAGCTCATCTCTACTCAAAGCTCCATAAACACCAGTTATTAAAGTGACCTGAAAAGTTGTCCAAACTTAGTTAAAGCGATCGATTTATATTAATTTGAATTACAGAAATCTATTATCAGGTGCTTCTTGTAAAAATCTCTCAATTTCCCCTTCCTCTTTCGTTACAATTCTAGAGTTTTTCGGACGGTATCCAAATGATTTTCTTTTCAAATATGGTATTAGTTTTGGAGATTTTCTGATATTTATATATTTTTTGGCATTCAGTGTACTTTTTAACATGGAATATACTGACCATAACGTCGAACGTTTGATTTTATTAATTTTATGTTCGAAATATGCCAGT